ACAGCTGCCCGCTGCAGGGCTGGCACTCAGGAGGGCACAGGCCAGCCCTGGGAGCCAACAGCTCTCATCCTATATGCTCCAGTCACAGCTGGATTGGCACACGCGGCCCCCTCCCCAGGCTGCCACGCTGCCCCAACTCATGCAGCCACAGCCCCGCCGCTGCCAGGGAGCCTTCCTTGCAGTGCTTTGCCCCAGGACAGCGGAGAGGACAGGAGCTCTGTCTCAGGACAGTTCCCAGGGGGACTGGGGGCAGCGCCCAGCACCCAGCTGCAGGCTGTTTGGCGGGGTGGGGGGGGTGGACCTCTCGACTCCTCTGGGCCGCTTGACCTGGGAGACTGCAGAGTGCCCTGCAGGGCTGGCACAGAGGCCGCACTGGGGCCACTGGTCACTCCTCCCGGGAGCGAGGCTCTGGACTGGGCCCATGGGTGCCGGGACACACGACAGACCGCCCCCTCGCTGGGAGCCCCACGCCCGGGAGAGCATTGGTAAGAGGAGCTGCCGCCCGTGCGAGGACAGAGCCCCCTGCAGGAGGCCCCGCCCTGCCTTCCTGCCGTCCTCAAGGCTCTCAGGGCCGCACAAACCTGCACACGGCCGGCCGGCTAGGCCCAGCTGCAGGTTGCTGTGTCTGGGGCACAAGAGAGCGCTGTAGGAGGGTTTCACTGCACGCTCGTGATTCATAATCCAGTAGGAGGCAAAGGGGAGGCGGGGCCTGACGGGACCAGGCATTCATCTGACGGCCCATAAATCAGATCTCGAGCGCTGCGTGGTGCCTCGGGAATGCGCCCAAAGCACCAGATTTACCCATCAGATGCGAGAGCAGGGACAAGAGAGATGCACAGCCACGTGGCTCCAAACCAGGCAAACGGCTACAGCCCCGGCCCCACCTGCACTGGCCCTGAGACCTCCCCAAGCGCCCCAGCTCTCTGCACCCTGTTTCTCCACCTGGGAGGTATGGGGACAGCATCGTGGCACCATAGGGGAGAGAGAAAGTGCGTGGAGACTGGGGCAAAGGCCCCACGAGGCCCCGCACACAGCAGGCGCTCCTAACAGCTGCTGTAATAAGACCCGGTCACTGCCAGGCACCAGGGAAGAGGTCAGACCAGATGACTCCAGGTCTTCCCGGACCTGAGACTCTGCAGCTCCCCTGGGATGGGACAGGAGTGCCGCCCCCTCTCCCCCAGGCCTTGGGGGATCAGGCAGCTGGAGTCTGATGACACCCAGGCTCACAGGTGGACAGGCTGAGGAGGCATCAGGAAGTGGTCAGTGTTTACTGGACAGTCCTAGGGACCTGGGGAGGGTCACTCTATGGGCCTTGGAATGGCATCCACGCCCTGCACTGTGCCACATCTGCTGATGTTCTCGGTCTCTGCACAGCTGTTCCCTCCAACGGGGCATACGCTCTGCCTGACACCTTTCCATTCTTCAGGCATCTGCCTGGACACCTCCCGCCCACCCGAGCCCTGCCCGTTGCCCACGGCTGAGTCAGGTGCCTCCTCTGGGCTCCCACAGTGCCCCGTGCTTCCCTTAAGTCATCAGTGACCATGCTGGGTGCCCTGCCTGGTTATCTGACGGTCACTTTCAGTGGACAGATGCCCACAGCTCAGTGCTGTACCCGGCGTGGTGCTCGGCACCAGGAGCGGTGAGCTCAGCAAGTGAGCGGTCTCGGGGCTAAAGCCAAGCTCACCATGCGGTGCTGTCCTCCAGGACCCCGAGCCTCCAGGGCCCCGAGCCAGGGCCGCACCTCCCGCCAGCACACTGGCGCCTGGCCCTCTGGCCCGGCTCCACGCCTGGGCACACACCAATCCACTGCCCACCACACGTGTCCCCTGCCCAAGTTTCCATCCTTCAGGAACAACCCTGCACCCCACACCTCCAGCAAGCCCTCCCTGACTGCACAGGGCGTCCAGAGGAACCAGGGCTAGATGCACGCCTCCCCTGGCCGGACACACGCTTCCTCTGCCCTGTCACTGGCCTAAAGGAATAGAGTCTGCACTGGGAGCCAGAGGCCCGGGTTCCAGCCCAGCATGCAACCCTGGGCAAGCCCTGGACCCTCTGGACCTCAGTTTCTCCACCTGCACAAGGCAAGGTGGACCAAGCATTATACGACGCCCTGCACAGCCCAGGCCAGGCCCCGCAGCTCAGCGCCAAGCCCACGAGGCCCCTCTCTGTGGTCCACGGACCCGCTGCCCCTTGCCAGGAGTGGTGCCAGCTGCAGGAGACAGCGGCTGCCGCGGTGCCCCGCCTTCATCACTGCGCCCCACACTCGCCCTCACAGCCTCAAGGAGGAAATCCTGCAGGACCACGAGGCACAGCTGGGGTTTCGGTTTCTCAACAAGAACAAGTGGGGCCGAGAAGGTGCAAAAGAAAAAAATGGATGAAAGGAGGTGAAGACTGCAGCCACCGCGAGAGGACAGTCCTCGGGGGTGAGACAGCAGCTCGGGGACCCTGTCAGGGGCCGGGGGACGAGGTGGACTAACGCCGGCCACGTGTGGGCCACGGGAGCAGCCACAGCGGAGAAGGGAACAGACCACGCGGACCCCGACCCCAGAGAGCACCTCCCAAGCCCACGAGGCCTCGGGCGCAGACTCAGCAGGGTGGGGTCCATCTGCCGTTCAAGTGTGGATGCACCATGGCCCAGAGAGTCCACTCAGGATGCAGGAGTCGTCAGACCTGCACAGGCCACGGACACATAGGGGCTGGGAGAGGTCACACTGCAAGCTGGGGCCACGGACTCGGGAGCTTGACAATTTCAATGGCCTGAGGAGAGTGACCTTCCATGCTACCCACCCCCGCGACCCACCCCCGACAAATGTTGTCGATAAGATCCAAGGCCAAGAGGCCCACGGCTCGAGTCCCGCTGCTCCGAGGCCCTGGGTGCTGCTGGGCACCCCCACCAGCTTTGCAGGAGGAAGCGGGGTGCAGGACAACCCTGGCGTCGGGCTGGCTCAGGGACACCCTGACAGTCTCTGGAGTTCCCTGCTCCCTCCATCCCCCAATCAGGGCTGTCCCCACAAGGGCCCCTCGACCGTCCCCATACTGGACAACCGGAACACGGCCGCAGGACACATGGACCTGCCGTCCTGGGCTCCAACCACTCCACTGCACGCCCCCACCTCCCACGCCCAGTCGCGGGCCTCCCTGTGTTTCTGCCTTTGCCCGTCTCCCAGAGCCCACGTGCGGGGCCCGGGCCTGCTACGACCTCGGAGAGGGTTTGATCGATGCCTGTCCCTCACAGGGCTGGCAGCTGCCAGCGGGCAGGACCCAGGCTACCCCTTCTGTGTCCCAGAGCCTGGCATACAGCGGGCGCTCAGTAACGATCTGGTGAGTGAGATCAACACCCGGCTGGGAGGTCTGGTACCATCATCACCCACGGGGACGCCCCGCCCACAGTACAGCAGTGGCCTCTGGAGGGAGTGAGCACCCTATCACCAGAGGTATGCAAAGGAGCTGGCCGCGCCAGAGGGCTGCAAAGCCGCCAAGTCCAGGGCTCCACGCCGTGCTCAGGGGCCACAGGGCGCAGGAGGCCCCGTGGAGGAGAGGGCTGACCCTGGCCCACCCGGCACAGTGGCCTACCTTCCCGCTTCATGCCCATGGCCAGGCACTTCTGGTAGCGGCAGTACTGGCAGCGGTTCCGCTGCCGCTTGTCGATCAGGCAGTCCTTGTTGTCTCGGCAGGTGTAGGTCAGGTCCTTGCGCACCGTCCGCTTGAAGAGGCCCTTGCAGCCCTCGCAGCTGTACACCCCGTAGTGCTAGCCCGCGGGGGGGCGGGCGGGCCGTGAGCCCCGCAGCACCCACCACAGAGCGGGCGTCCTCTCCGATGGCCCCCTCGTCTGCAGACCCCCCGGCATTCCAGCTCCATCCGCTGGGCAAGAGAGTGGCCCCACTGGGGACCAGGCGCTGGTGAGGCCGTCCCCTCCGTGTCTGAGCCAGTGGCCCCGGAAGAGGGCGCCATCAGGGTTCTGGGGCAGGATGCGAGGGGCACTTCGCCCATGGCACAGACCAGAGAGGGGCACTGCCCCCTCTGTCATCGTCACCACCAACAGCTGCCCTCCCTCCAGAAGCCTCCAGACCACCCTGCCCAAGGTGGCATCCCCCACTTACTGCCTCCCTGACTGAAACCACTAGAAGGCCCATGTGAAAGGGGAGCTCCCAGTGCCCCCTTGGTGGCCTGGCCAGGCCCCCGCCCCCCGCCCGTGGGTCCTGCCGTCCCCTGCGCCTGCGGCAGCCTACCTGAGGAGCGGTCGCTGCAGATGGCACAGATGTGCTTGGTGAAGGACGCCATGTTCCCTGAGGGGTGGGCCGGGACCTTGAGGACACCGTTGAGGCCCAGCAGGGGCTTGATGTCCTCGCTGCTGCTGACGGGGTTCATGGGTGAGTTGAGCTGGGGAGGGGACACCGGGGGTCAGCCCTGGCAGGCTGGTGCCATGCACCGAGGGGCATGTGCCAGAGTCCCCCCAACAACCCTGTGGCACACCCCCACTTTACAGAGAGAAGCTGAGGTTCAGAGAGCAGCCCTGCCCACCCCAGGCCACACAGCCCGGAGCGGCAGAGCCCAGGCCGGCTGAGCGCCGGCTGGACGCCTGCCCGGGGGTGCTCCGCTGGGCTGGCAGAGGCTGCCCTGCCCTCAGGGCTCCACCCTCCCACGGCCGACCCCAGACCCGGGAAGGAGGCCCCCACAAGGCCCCTGCTCATGCTCCCTGCCCCTCACCCACCTAAACAAGAACCACCTCCCATTACTGGGCGCTCCCTCGGCAGGACAGCGTGAGCTCCAGGACCCTCTTGCTGAGGCAGGCACTTTGGGGGACCCCCAACCCACAGACGAGCACTGAGCCCTGGTCACAGCGAGGACGGAGCAGAGCTGGGGTCCACCCCACCAGGCTACACTTCCCGGGCCTCTGCGGGCGGGGCGGGGTCTCTAATCTCAGGACCCAGGGAGAGAGGGACGGAGACACCCCTCGGGCGTCCGCTGCAGGGACACCGTCCCCTCTCCACAGAGCCCTCCGCCCCACCCTCGGCCGCCTGACGCCTTGCCAGGAGGAAGCGTGGGAAACTCACCGGTCACCCTGGCAACAGCTGCCGCGGCCGCGATGACACAGCAGTTTTGGTTCCGCTGCGTCCACCCCAGCCCTCCCGCCAGCGCCCAGGGCCCAGAGGTGCTTCCCGCCGCATCCCCCGAGCCCGCCTTCTCTGCAGGCGCCAGGACCCCGGCCTGGCAACCCCGCACCCCCACACCCCCACTTCTGCAAACCCCTGACAGAGGCGGAAACTGGGTGGCGTGGACGGCTCTGTGGACGGGCAGCAGCTGCTGCGCTGCCCCCTGGTAGCCCCGGCCCCTCCTGCGGGCGGGAACCGCACCTCCTTCCTCCCCCATGGCCCCCAACTCCCACCCCTCTTTCTCATGGGATGGCAGGACCTTGGGGCTCAAAGGACACAACGCAGAACCCCCCCCCCCGCAGCCTTGCTTCACGCCGGCCTCAGCGCCGGCGGTGACTCTCCCAGCCCAGCGGGCTCTAGGACCCCTCCCTCCACCCAGGTGGCCATGCGGCTCTGAAGATGCTTAACCCCCAGGGGACTCAGGGGGGTGCAGAGAGGCCAGGAGGCCGGCTCTGACCACCCAGGCTGCCAGGACACAGGAGCCGAGGGGGGCGCGAGGGCATACGGGGACCCCACTGCAGAACAGGGCAGCCCTCTGTCATTCGAGAATGCCCCCTGCGCCGTCTGCAGCGCTCAGGAGCCTTCCCAGCTGAGAGAGGAGCTAAGAAGGGACACCGACCAAGAGAAGGCGCCCGCTGTGTGCTCGGTGCCACCGTGCCGGGCTCTGCACACGCGCTCGCCTCTCCCTGTGAGGAACACCCCGTGGGGACGTGCTTCTCTCCCATTTCCCAGATGCAGACGTGGAGGCTCAGAGAGGTCAGGGGCCTGGCCGAGGGCACACAGCTGCCCAGTGGCAGAGCAGAGGTTTGAGCTCAGCCCTCTCAGAGTCAGCAGGTGGTGACACCGAGGTGATCACCGCACGCTGGAGAAGGGGAAACCGAGGCCCCCAGAGGACGGGCTTGCCCTGAGCCACTCAGCAATCCCACATTGCACTGTTCACTAAGCGCCCAGCCAGCTAGGAGCACACAGCCCAGCCCTGCCCTGCAGTGCTCGCTGGCCGGGTCCGAGATGCCAGGAGGAGGGAGAAGGGGCTTGTCCCCAGGCCTCCGGATCCTGCCTCCTCCATCTGCTGTGTGACTTAGGGGAAATTATCACATCTCTCTGAGCCTGAGGTTTCTCGTATGGAATAACGTGAGTGCATCCATGTGAGGCTGATGTCGGGGTCACCGAGCTGATCCACAGCAGTGCTGACAGGCAGCGAACGACCCGGCTCACGCGGCACAAGCGGCGGCTGCATGAGCACTCGGCCTCCAGGAGGAGACCACCAGCTGGGCCTGGACGATGGCGGGCGGGCGGGCGTCCCAGGCAGAGGGGCTGCCAGAGCAACATTTGGTCCCGAGGGGCCCAACTGCGGGAGCCACTGAGGACCCGTGAGCAGGAGGCGCGGCGTGGGGGCCAGGTGGGACGCCTCTCTGGGCTCCAGCCGTCCCCGTGCTGCGGGAGCCTGGCCACGAGTCCCGGGGCTGGACCCTCCTGGCGGCACAGAGGAGAGGAACTCGGGCCTCCCCTCTTTCTGCGGCCGCCCAAACCACACTGGGTGGGTAGGGCCGCCTGCCCTGTCTCCTAGCCCCCGTGTGCAGGCCCTTGGGACTGGCGCCTGCCCTCGGTAAACTGAGGCAGGACCACAGCAGCGGGGAAGGAGCTGCAGGGGGAGCGGTCAGTCAGGGTCAGTGCCGGGGCGAGCTGGCTCCCAGGCCGTGTGCCGGGGGCACCCTGCCCTCCCAGGCTCCAGGTCCCCATGGGCACAGCGGTCGGCCCAGAGGCCCTGGGAGCCCGAGGAGCCCCCGCACGTGTGGGAAGACGAAGGCGGTGCTGCAGCCGCACCCTCACCACAGGCCCGGGCGCCCGCTTTGCTTCTCCGCCTCGACTGGTGGGCATCCCCACGTGGCCACTGGGGCAGGCTGTGCAGAGGCCAGGGGCCATTCTTCCGCTTCCCAGCTCCAAGCAGGCAGGCCTCGGGCCGGGCTCACAGCTCCCCTAACAGAGCGCGGGGCGGCCCCTGGGGCCTCGTCCTGCCGCATAGGCCCCCTCCGCAGACCTCACCTACGGGGTCTGCTCCCCGCTTGCTCCACTCTGCTCCCAGGAGCCCGAGGACTCCGTGGCGTGGCCAGGGAGGGGCCCGCCCATTTCCCCTTTCACATCCTTGGCATCTATTTCGGTTCCCCCCGGGAGCCTACGAGACTCACTAAAATAACCTCCCGCCTCCACAGCGCCCCCCTGGGGCCCGGCCGTCTCTCCCACTCCTTCCCCCACCCACCACGCCCTTCCTTCCCGTGCCCACGCAGGGGAGGCCCACTACCCACGGTCAGAACTCAGGTGGGAGGCTCCGGACCCGCCGCCCACCAAGAGCCGCCCTTGGCCTCGCTGGCCTCATCTGCCCACCAAGGCAGGCGACACACCCTGTGAAGTCCGCTTAGCCTCATGCAGACGACCCATTGCAGAGGCCGCACGACCGTGGTGCCCACAACAAGGAGCAGGCAGGGCCGGCCGCCCCGCAGGCCTGGACACGCCCTGCCCCATGGAGGCTGTGCGGGGCTGGCGAGGCCTGGACACCGAGGTGCCCACGAGTGCCAAGCACTGTGAGCGGCTCTGGGACACGGTGGGAAATGCTCCCTGGTTCCTGCGCTGGTGGAGCCCCCAGACCAGGGGAGACATGCGGGGCAGCTCAGGCCGGCACCTGTGGTCTGGCCTGGCTCTGCCCAGACCCCCGGCGCCCATTTCCCCGAGAGGCGGGGTGAGGTGGACTCAGGGACATCGACGGCCCTCCCTGGCTGTGGACTCGAGCAGGCGGCGCTTGGCAGAGTGCCAGGCCCTCCTCGACAACAGCAGAAGTCAGAGAACCTCGCTGGTTGCAGCAGCTATGACTTCGTGGTTGTGGTTTTGGGGCAGGAGTGGGGGCATGCCCCCCCTGAACTCCACCCACACTCCCATGAACATGGGGAACTCCGGGTGTCCAGGAGAAACTGCTTCAGCCAGAAGCTGCACTCAGCTCCCAGGGCAGGAGCGATGGGGGTCAGGGGCCGGGGGACTGAGGCTACCCCGGAAGAGCGGCTGGAGGCCGAGCATGGGGCTCAGACCAAGGCAAAACTAACTGCCGTCCAACTGACCGATGGACGGATGGATGGCTGACGAGCAGGACAGTATGAACGTCTGGGGCACACCAGGTTTGCTCCCCACACTCACCCCCCTCCCAGGCCCGACTCCTGCACTGATCACCTCATCAACCTCACAGGGCCTGGAGCCCCTCACTCACAAGCAACCTGGATTCAGCACGCCCCCACTACGTGCCAGGAACCTCGCTGTGTGCAGAGAGCAACAGAGAGCAACAGAGAACAACAGAGAACAGGACGGACGTGGCCCCAAAGACCTCCCTCCTCTGCACCGCCCACCCCTCCCCTAGACGGCTAACAGTGCCAAGGGGCACCAGGCTCCCCAGAGGTTTGGAGGCATCACCACCACCCTGGCTGGGCACCTAGGGCCCAGGCCTGGCACAGCCCCCACTGCAGACCCTCACACCCAGGCTCCTACTGTGCACAAGCCCTCGGGGCGTCCAGGGCAGGCAGTAGGCCTGGAACCAGCAAGGAGCCTCATGGGGCTCTGAGCGCCAGTGGGACCTGCCTCTATCCCGGTCCCCTGTGGGACGGGCGCAGGCCAGTCTTCATCTGCCATGTCAGTGTGTGACATGCTGCAACCAGCAAGAACAGGGGTGGGGCGGCTATGCTAAAAATAACACGGCCAGGCCCAGGAAGGCGGCCCAACCTCCCTCATGCCAGCACCTGGGGCGTTCTGCCTGCTTCTAGAAGGCGACATGAGGGGGTCCCGGGAGCTCTGCACTGATGCCTGAGGCCCTAGCTCTTCTGCATCCATCCCCCGGCTGCAAAGGGGCTGACAAGGTCACCCTGGAAAAGCCAGCAAGATTCTCCACCAAAGCCACCTCCAGACAGGCCCAGCCAGATGGGCAGTGGGCTGCCTACAGACCCCAATGGCACTCCAGCCCTCCTGGGCCGGGAGCAGAGTGGGCTGCCCTGGAGGTGGCATAGCTCCGTGGGCAGCAGAGGGCTTGGTAGTCCAGAGGACACAGCTGACACTATTACTGGTGGCTCTGGGCAGGGGAGCTGGAGGGCTGTCCTGAGGCCCCAAAGAGACGGTACACCAGAGCACGCCTCCACCTCCCTGGGGAGGAACAGCTGAGCCCGGTCTTGGACACTCAGAGCGAGAGGGAGCCCTGCCTATTCCAGGAAGGACAGCTTGAGACCCCGAGAGAGGGCGGACCCACAGGGATTCAGACAGGTCTCCCCGCCCACCAGCAAGAAATCCACCACGACCACCCAGAGCCAGGAGAGAGACACCCAGCTGGGCCCTGAGGCCCCTTCACAACCCAGGGTCCTGGGAACTCAGAACAACTCTGCAGGGCTCGGACAAGAGGTGCCTCCAGGTCCCACGGCAAGAACTGGACTGAGCCAGGCCCGGCCAGGCACCTGAGCCAGACACGACCCCAGCAGCCAGACTGTTCTAGAGAAGTGTCTGAGCAAACACATGACATGGACAAGACCACCAAGCCCGGCAGACGAAGCCGAGGCCCCCGTGGACCCGAGGCCTGGCATCCCCGAGGAGGGGCGTGTCTGCACCGAGCCTGGACACATCTCGCCTGTGAGGTCCAGGCCCAGGGGCACTGAAACTGCCCGGCGTGGGTGTGAGCAGAGGCCAGCAGGGAAGGGCCGGCCAGAGAAGGGCCAGCTGTGAGGACACGGGGCTCCAGGGTGGAGGGTTTAAACCCGAGGAAGGTGGAGTCCCCACCCCACAGAGCTCCGAATCCCGGGAGGGTAGGGGACCTGCCTGGCTGACAACCTCTGAGGGTCACGGGCTCAGGAGTCAGCAGACCTGGACACACACCCAGGCTCAGGCCGCCTCTGTGGCTCTGCTTCCCAGAGACTGAGAGAGGAAACGACAGCACCTGCCTTCCAGGGGCCACAGGATGGAGCAGGTGTTCTGCAGGTGAGGCCCAGGCCCCACCCCCTGGCCCCGCCCACAGGATGGAGCAGGTGTCCTGCCGGTGAGGCCCAGGCCCCACCCCTGGCCCCGCCCACAGGATGGAGCTGGTGTCCTGCCGGTGAGGCCCAGGCCCCGCCCCTGGCCCCGCCCACAGGATGGAGCAGGTGTCCTGCAGGTGAGGCCCAGGCCCCGCCCCTGGCCCCGCCCACAGG